TCCTAATATTAGTTATTAAAGTTAAATGAAGGCCACAATGGAAAAAGACACAAAATGGCATGAAAGAATGAGTACAATGCTTAGGAGAAAAGAAGTCCTGACTGACTATTCCTTATTCTGCCACTGATTTACTTTGAACTGCTTTCCTTTTCTGCCCCGTTGTCTCTATTATAAATTGAGGACAATGAAAGTTACTGTATCTGTTTTATAAGGATGCTGTAAGGATTAATCAAATGTTTTGAAGACTTCACTTGCAAAAAAAACAAAAACAAAACAAAAAAAACAACCCAACCCTTTGAAATGCAGCAGAAATAAAGGCCTTGGGTTCTGGAAGTGCTTTTTCATTATTCCATGAAATTATATGTTTATCTGAATTATAAAATAGTTCTTCATCATTTTCCCTCCTTGGCTGGTGTTTCTCCAGAAAAGTGTGGTAGTGTGCCAAAACACAAACTGAACATTCACATTCTAAAGAGCAAAGACAAAGTGGCTATTGTCTGGGAAAGGGAAACTGAGTCAACCCAGGCATGTCTCCCTCTCATCTTGGTAGAGCATATGATTATACACAGTAGCCCAACCTCATTGTTGGGGACCACACATGGACACATGCAAATTAGGCTGGAATAAGGCTGTGCCTAAAACACTAGGTCAGCAGATGGCACCAACAGTCCATCTGCCTTTCTGGCAGGAGTGTTGAATTCACTCCATGCCATGGGCCAGATCCAGATTGTGGGACTCCCTTGCAAGCCGGATCCAGCCCAGGGTAGTTCCAGCATGGGGCACAAGGTGCACCTATGGCTCCAATGACACGGCCTGTGCTGGAGCTGAAGCCACCATCACCACATCAACCACCTGGATTGAAGCCACACGCCCTATACCATGGCAGCAGCTCTAGACCCAGAAAGGTGCCAGAAGTGATATAGCCTGTGATGATAGATAAAGCACCTCTGGGAATCCAGAGGTATATATCATTCCTTGTTTGCCTGCCCACTGCCAATGGTCACATTCACCAAGGCCCAAGGGGCCCACATGCTGCAGTATGCCACTCCCCCTGGCCATGACTTTACAACTTCCAGTGGCCCACTGCTACTTGGAGGCCGTATACTTGACATTCATGCTCTACTGAATAACAACCTTCTCCTGTCAGATACCGCAGTCAGTTGTTGCTCCAGTGGTTGAAGCCTCAAAGTTCAAGTTTCAAATGCTTCTGATTATAGGAGATTGTTACATGTGTACCATGATCATTTTTGTTTTGTTTTTACTTAAAATAAAATTATTTATAATATAAAAAACTATGTTAAAAGAATGCTAGCATTGCAAAGTTGGTAGATTTTGAATCTACAGTTGCTTGAACAACCTGAATTCTGTCACTTTCATGATCACATACAGCTTTTTCTACATAACACCCTGCCTCATTCAGTGTGGAGTCAATGAACAAAGAGCAGAACACATGTTGCATGAGCAACCATAAATCATTACATCCTAAATTTCAAGTCCTTGACTTTGCAAACTAAGTAACTAATACATTCCATAGGTAACTACCTCAATTTAAGGAGTCTGAAAATACATGATTTAGAAGGCAATTTCTCAAATGTATCAAGGATAAATGCCGAAGCGGTAAAAACAGCTCCTTGATAGAAAGCGAAGAAAACTGATTCCGGCAATACATTTATTCACTACTGAAAGTAAAATGCATTTGGGTAACAGTACTGAATGGTTACCTGGATACAGAGAATTTATGTAAATGATTAAATTTTAATGTATTTGTTTTCTGATAGCACTGAAACTTTTTAAGTGAGAGTTTTTGGTAGCAGTACTCTTTGCATATTGGTTTGTACAAATAAGAAATTGCTGTGGATGCCCGACTGCTTCCTTTGCAGTTTATCTATTTTATTTACAGAAAAGCTTTTAATAATGTACTACTGCTCTATATATTGGTGTGCAAAAGCATAAAATGGAAGTGTTTTTTAAAATGGATGAATGAACGTTCAATAATGTCTTTAACTTAAGTCACGACACTGACAGGTATTGAATAGTTGGGCCGTGCCTTATCTTTCTGCTTAATTCATCAACTCTCTAAACATGCCAGTCAAAAGGTGTCTCTGCACCTGGATGGAGCTAATTATTAAATAACACTGTCAATTCATACCTTATGCAAACATGCTGCAAATACAAAAATAATCTATGCCTTCAAGATGTTAAATGATAGATTCTCTTTGATTTCAAAGGGAAAAACAACCCAACTTGTTCAGATAGAGCTCTTTTTAAGAGAAGCGTAACATTATTTCTTTTTTGTGACTTCTCAGGCTATTATATGGGTATTTGCATCCAGTCACCAAAGAGGTGTTGAACTTCTGAAAGAACTGCACTCATTTCACAAACAGGCCCACAGCTCCAAACAGGCCCACAGCAATTGGACTCTTTAAAGCCAGGAAAACAATTAATTCCCAAATGTAGAGATAGATCTGCAAAGCTTTCCACAGTTCTTACATACTTGGATGTTGGGAGGGAGGGTGTTTGGACTCATTTCTACTCAAGACTATGCTCTGTCTTTCAAAGATGCTCTTAGGCTAGTGGCTGATTTGTAACCTGCACCTAGCATTCATTTGATAAGAGAATGCACCAAACCAATAACAGAAAATGGGTATGGAAGAGCTCAAAGCGGATAATCTTGTCTCCCTGCCCCTGCTCCACCACACTGAGGCAAGGTGATCTATATTTAAAACATTCCTGATAGACATTCATTTCACCTTCAGTGAGGAAGCCTCCACAACCTCCCTGGGCAATTCCTGACAACAGAATCCCACTGTGCTATTTTATTTTGTGGAGACACTGGTAAATTAAAATCAAATTACATGAAAAAAGAAAGAATTTTTCCTTGAATTACTGAAGACACTGTAATCTATTTATATTTAAAAAACACTTCAAAATTTACTTTTCACTGAATTTTTGCATTTTCCCAACCAGATTTTAGTCCATTTCATGTTCTTATTCTTGCATCTTATTCTCACACACTAACTCTTAAACACTGCAGACAATGTTTTTTCCATCCAGAAAGCCTGCTTTCACTGGAACTTCACTGAGCTTGTCTAAGGTGTCCAGGAGAGGACACGGAGGTTTACTCTACCAACCCAGAGCTATAAGTATGCTCCAGACCCAGAAGTTTGCCAGCAAGGCTTCTCTGCACTCATCTACAAGTACCTACTCTCTAGGGTTATCATATTTCCAGTTTTAAAGAGGACACCTGTGGGGAGGACGGCAGGTAATATGATTGGGGTAGACAGTGATATACCCCTGCCCTGTCCCTGCCCCTCACTCTCAAGCCACAGCCACCCCAGCACTGCTGCTGCCCCTCACTCCCAACCCATAGTACCCCATCTACCAGATCATGCTCGTGTCCCTCACTCCTAACCCACAGCTCCTCCCTCCCATCCCAGCTGATACCCCTCACTCCAGATCTGCAGCACGCTGGCACACTGCCTGTGCCCCATACTCCTGAGCAACAGTACCCAGCGCCCCCCCCCGGTGCCCCTCACTCCTGACCTGCAGCCCTCTGCCCCCCCCAGCCCTGTCAGTACCCCTCACTCCCAACCTGCAGCTCTCTGCTCCCTCCAACCCTGCAGTGTGTCCCGCCTGCACTGCCCCTGTGACCACAAGGGTCCCAGTGCTGCTGGCCTGGCCATGCAGCTCCCTGCTGCTCCAAAAGACTTCCCTGCTCCCTTCCCCTGCCCTGCTGCAGCCCCAGCACCGCCGGGCACCCACTCCCCCTCACATACCCATCCCCTCCGTGCACCCCAGCCACACTTACATGCACACACTCACAGCCCCCCAGACAGCCCCTAAGCCTTGGCCCTCTAACCCCTGCCTCCCACAGACTTACCTGCATGCAACTGCCAAGGCTGGTCCTACCACTAGGTGATGCCCCTGACTCCAATTGCCCTCCCCCTGCTTTCCCCTCAGTCCCAAACAACTTCTCCTAGGGCAAGCCAGGAAGTGCCAGGAAAAACTTCAATGCTGAGCAGAGCAAAATCCAGGACATTTTTTGATATTTAAAAAAAAAAAAAAAAAATCACCCAGACGGAAGACCTAAAAAGAGGACATGTTTGGGAAAACTTGGACATATGGTAACCCTACTGCTGTCAAACCCTTAGTCTCTAACAGGTCTGAGAGTGACCACCAGGGGAGTGCCCTCCCCCACTAGCTCAGACCAGTCGCTGGCTTAACTTACTGGTCTGAAGCATGTCAGCAGACATGTGTGGGCAGGGAGTAAATGAGCCTCAGTTCTGTTATCCCTAGGACCAGCCATGGCAGCAATAGATAAGTTAAATCAGACTACCCTCATGTTTAAGCACATGCTTAAGTCTTTTGTTTAGCTGGAGCTGATGTCACGTGCTTGAACTGGCAGGTTGTGCAAATGGGTTCTCAAGCATGTGCATGCTCCACCCACCTATGACTGTAGGGATGTTCCAGAAAAGGAGATATATAGGTGAGGCAGCTCCCAGTTTGTCCATTTGCCCCCTCTCGCAAATCCTTGGACCTGGGACCAGGTTCTGGAGATCCCAGACCCACCTGACTGACAGTCTTCTGGGTTTAAATCATGTTTGTTGACCCAGATGCGGAGGGATCTCATCATCAAGTGCTGGGATTCACCTCTTCAGCAGTGCAGGTGAGCCCAAATTCTCATCTCACTTCAAGTATGCAATTCTCACTAATGCTGATGAGAACTATGGTGCATCATGAATTTATTTAGTCATAAAACCAGTGACTGAGTATGTGGAAGTATTATTCACAGAGTCATTAAGTGTTCCCATGCTCCAAGCTGACCAAAATGTTAAATGCCTCAAATAATTTTTTCTCCCTCTGACTCGAAGGTTCCCCCCCCCCCCCCCCCCCCCCCCCAATTCCATGTTTGTTTGGGTTTTTTTAAAGTTACCACTACATTCTTTTTTCCGCTCCCTTTCATTTTATGTTCTTTACAACAACTTAAAAAGAAGTTTTACCTTTCCAAGCATCCTTCCTAGGAAGTAATAGTGTCTAGCATAAGAGTCTCCAACAAGCATATGTGCAGCAGGGTTGGGGTAGAGAAGCCCTTCATTAGTGGTTTTAAAAAATCCCTGGTTAGGATTAAATCCTGATTTAAGCAGTTCATTCAGAAATTCTCTGAAAATTCCACCACCATCAATGCCAGCTTCATCCAGGCCATGTGCATTAAGCAAGTGAACACGAATTCGCTTTTTCAGATCAGGCTCTGGGGGGAAAAGTGACAAGGAAAGTCATACGCAAGAAGCTATACAACTGTGTTTAGAAATATTTAGAGATATATGCACACACCCATACCCACACACAAAAAACTCAAATGGTAATATTGTAGAAACATTACTGATTTGGGGATGGACATGTTACTCAGAATTGGAAAGTGACACATGAATTCTGAACGTAGCACCCTGTCGAGTTTTATTGGTGTTTTGTTTTTTTCATATAGAAGAGCTATTTCTAGAAGTGGTTCAGAAAGGGTAATAATATTAACATAATTTCTGGAAGCTCTTTTCCTTTAAAAGCACACTCACTACATGCCCCAAGTCTAACTATGGCTACCAGAGATAATTATTTTTTTCTTCCAAGAAAAACAAGAAGGTCTTTCCCTCCAGTGTGGAACACACTCCTGCACAAAAATAAAGCTGTCTTGAGATGCAGTATTAACACCGTTTGGTCTGGTACCAATAGCTTGCACTCACTCAGACAAACCTTTATCACAGAATCATAGCATCACAAGGTTGGAAGAGGGTTCTCTCTCAAGGGTTATCTGGTGCAGATGCACACAAATTTCTCGCCTAGTGGTTCCTGAGATACCAAGCGTTTTTGCATGTGGACAAGCTGTTCTGAATAACATTTTTAGAGATTTTTTTAAATATATAATCTCTCTCTACCTAAAACCTGCACAACTGAGCGTATAGACAGAGATAAAAATACTTCATTAACATTTTTAACTTGGACATTTCAAAAATAGTTTTTCTAATCATATTGGTAGTCTCTACAGAAAGCATCTGTTAAGTCAGGGGTTCTCAAACTGAGTCGCAAGCAATTTAAAAGGGGGCTGCAAACTTCAGGGGTTACACGTGGCAGCGCAGGGAAGTGGCACACGGCAGTAGCGCAGAGTGGTGGATGGCGGTGGCGGCAGCTGCTGCATGCGAGTTCCCCGTCCCCCACTGCTGCCATCCAGCTCTCGGGGTCACGATATCACAAAGTCTGAGAACCCCTGTGTTAAATGGTGAGTAATAATGATTTTACCTACGGTAATTTGGAGTTACCCGAATAAGTTGTGATTTTGCTGTTTATGATTTTAAAGAAGTTCCCTTCACATGGAGAAAGGAGTTTACATCTAAAAACTGTCAGTTCTACTCCATTTCTGTTTTTAAATATCTAAAATAAGGTACCATTGAAGTATTAACTGAACCCATATGGACAAACTGGCTGCCTCTTCCAAATCAATGACCTTTGTTCTTGTGCAATCAATTCTAAGACCTCATCTATGAGCACTCAATCATCTAGGTCCATTTTAATCAATTTGGTCTATAATCCTGAAATTATGCTTCCAGGAATTTCTTCTTTTCTATACTCCCATGCTGCATTTGACCTACCTCAAACTAACAATGCTCTGTATAACTGTATTGTGATTCAGAATACCCATACAATTTTTTCTTTAATTGCCATATTCCTTGGTTTGGACTGAAACAGAAGAGCACTCATAGTATATACATTATACACACACAGACTATGAATGTATGATTCTATATTCCATATATTCTATGACAGCCATGTGGGGATTGGGAGGGTCCTGACTGCAACATGATGCAAATACACATAGCTCAGGAGAAAAAATATTTTAAAAATAAAATTAAAATAAGTTATTACAATAAATTTTATTTGTGTGTGTGTGTGTGTGTGTGTGTGTGTGTATTTATTTATTTATTTTTTCCCTGGTTTCAAGATGGCAACCCCGCCCCCAACAGAGTACTTCTGGGGCAAGGAGAGGAACTTCTAGTGGCAAAGGTCAGGGGCAAGGGGAGGAACTTCCAGTCCTAAGATGGAAACCAGGGAGCAGGGTACCTGTCAAGGGGTAGTGTTACCATTGCAGCCCTTGACAGTTCACCAAAACTCATTAAGTGGCTCTGCAGCTGAAATAATTGCCCAACCCTACTTTAGGTCAACTGAGGACTCCTTCATGCCTGCCAATTCCCCAGTAGGGAGGTGGACTTCTTTTCACTACCTGTATCTTCCCCAAGATATTTTTGTTATATCCAAACTCTTCATACATTTAATAAGGGCTCTCCACAATTTAGATGTAGCTGACACAGAAATGTAAGCACTGATACAGCTGCACTAGTACAAACTCATTGCATAGCTGCCATTTATAACTCACTACAGTGATATATGCTAGTGTACCTTACGCAACTCTGGCATAAACCACACTGCATCTTTCAAATTCTGTCAACATTAAATGTTTTTTCTTCAATGCAGATGAAATTCAATGTGCAAAGTGTCTAATGAGCAGTATGAGTGAAAACACAAAGCAGTTTGTCAGAGAAACTGACAACAACAGAAAAAGGCATCCAATGAAGATTTAGTTTGAACTGAAGAAACCGGTGCATTAAAAATGTTAGACTGCAATAATCAAAATGGAAAATGAAGAATTGGGATGAGGGGTGTGTGTATAGGGGTGATCTCAATTTCAAAACTAATTAAGCATCTCAAGGAAAGGCATATCTACCTTTCCAATAAGGTAAAAGCAAAAAAATAATTATATAGCAAGATTTATATAATATAAGCCTACCATTTTCAGGGGAAAGTTTGTCATAAGCATCTTCATAAATATAATTTCTTCGGATAGTAACGTTAATTCCATCCAGAAATGGACCGTCTCCTTGAACTTCCTGTTTGTCAGCATAGATCAGTCTTTGAAAAATCTGGTCAAATGAATTAAAAGAGAACTCAAGTAATCATACCTACATTAGGATTTTCAATAAGTGTTTACTTCCTAGTCACTACAGTTCTTTGAGATTTGCCTCTTCATTCATACTTAAAAGACTTGGCACCTCTAATACTGCTGTAGAACTGCCACAGCTATTGAAAGGAGGTGGCATAGAGAAGCCCCATCATTCTGAACTTGCAGAAAGACTAACCAGGTTTGCTCTGTAGGCAAAACCCTGCAAAGAACAGATATAGGAGTAGAGGAGATAGTCAGTCCTACCTGCTCTTAAGACTCAAGAGCCGAGCTGATGCTGCAGCACAGGCTCTTCAGGGGGCCATTCCAGTATCCCTTCTAAGTCAGTACTCAGGTTTGATAACCACCCCTAGTTACGCTACTGCTCAGTTCTGCCAGTAAGAGGGAACACCTCCTCCCCAACCATCTCCTCAGTTCTTTCTTCTTATCATGCAGAGTCCTGAACACAAGCAAGTCTGATGCCGAGGGGAAAGCAGTGTGAAAGCACAGAGTCAGCTATCGAAGAACAATAGTTACTAGTAACATTCACAATTATAGGAAACTGAAATAGCAGTGCCTCTGGAGCAAGTGCTCATAGGATGAAACCACTATTAATATCATTAAAACTAGTTTCAAATCCCAAGCTGAAGAAGGTCCTCTAGTTATACCCCAGGGAATTGTGCACAGAAAAATGCAAGATTATGCACAAAAACCCCCTCAAAATTATGCTAAATTAATTGTTTTTTTCCTTCCCTGCCCCCTTTTTATTTATTTTTTTAAAAAATTAACATAAATATAAAACTATTTTAACCTTTAGAAATATATGCAGGTACTTTGTATGGTTGGGAAGGAGAGTGGGGGGGTTTATAAAGGTGTGGGCGTGTGTGGGGTTTGTAGGGGGGAATTGTGAAGGGCTGTGTGTGTGGGGGCGGTTCATGGGGGGTTTGTAAAGGGGTGTGGTTATGGGAGTGTGTGGGGTTTGTGGGTGGATGTGCCCTCACC